ACGCTGCGTGCGTTCGTACAGACGTACTTCGGCAACATAATCGTCCATGGCCGTGTCGAAGGAAGCCAGACGCCATGTATGTGCATCTGGATCACATCCGTCAAGTGCTTGATGTCATGCGAGCTAACAAGATCTACGTCAACATCGACAAATGCGTTCTCTTGTCACAAAAATAAAACATTAGTGGTTGCTTCGTTAGCAACGTCGGCTTTTGACCCAGACAAGGTCAAGGCCATTGCAGCGTGGGCGACGTCTCGATCACAGAAGGATCTAAGGAAGTGGTTGGGGTTGACCAACTACGCTCACAAGTACAGCGCAGGGTACGCGGGCCTCGCTAAGCCCTTGTCGGGCTTCCTTCAGAAGGACGCCGACTGGCGCTGGGAGCAAGATCACCAGGATGCCTTTAGCCGCATCAAGGCTAGCCTTCAAAAGACGCCGGGCCCAGCCCAACCGGACGAGCCGTTCCGCGTCGTCTGCGATGCTTCCGATTATGCAATCGGTTGCGCGTCGTCTGCGATGCTTCCGATTATGCAATCGGTTGCGCATTGCTGCAGAACAATGCGGGTAGACACAAACGATTCGTCTCGCTCCAGATCAGACAGCCCAAGTCCGCCGAACGGAACTATCCAGCTCACGACAAGGGGCTCCTTGCTGTGAAGTATACCCTCTTGACGTTTTGGGTACATCTTCTGGGCCCCAGGTCCTTGGTGATTTACACCGAATTCGCATCTTTGCGGACGGTGCCCAATTCGCCTCACCGCTTTAATGGATGGCGAGGCGGCTGTCCTTCTTCCCGGAATACAGCTTCCGCATTGAATACAGGCCGGGCAAGCTGAACGTTCTTGCCGACGCCTTCGGACTATGTGTTGGTCCACATCACACGGGTGATAATGGATTATTACGATCGATAAACTCTTGGCGTATCGGGGCGACGAGGCCATTGTGACTGTTATCCGGTTTCCGACTACTGACGGGGAGGCCAAGTCCGAATGACTTTCGGCACAGCAGCGCTCCCGACTCCGCCGATATGAATTAAAAGACGGCCTTCTGTACTATCAGGTGGAATCTAGCGCCCTCCCCCGGGTCCTGCCCAACGACGAGGTTATAATGTTCGACATCATCGGTGAGGGGTATGATACTCCCTCCAGTGGTCGCTTGGGCCGCGAGAACATTCTTGTCGGTCTCCCAGGCCTTCTGCTGGACCCCCATGTACCACGCTAACGTTGTCGAAGAGGCAGTGAATGTGGCATTGAATGTTGTACTGAATGCCGAGTATAACTTCAGGTCCGATCAACCTCGTTGGAGCGCTGACAGCACGATCTCTTCAAGCGGTCTGGAGCCGCTGGATCTGAGCTATGCTGAAGATTAAGAAGCGAAACAGCGCGCCGGCGTTCACCGATGCTTTGTGTGCAAGATCAAAAAGAACTTGAGGCTTATGCCCTCTGCGCAATAAGTGAGAGGTTCTGGTGAGTCAACCTGCCGGGTCATCGCCAGAAAACGGCAATTCCCAGTAGGCACGGGCCAGAATGTTGGGGAAGAACTGAACTGCTGTACCTCGAGGACTAGAGAGGGCAACGGGGCTTAGCCCCGACGAGAGCTAGGATCGCTTACGAGAAGAATGTGTGCAAGCCGGACTTGCTGGTCGTTCAAGCGAATTTGAAGGGCTTTACGAAGCTGTGAAAAGGCTTGATTAACTCGGAATCCTTGGGCGACTACGCCCTTTGCTCCACGTTGGAAGGGAGTCAGCTGCCATTCTAACTTGTGGTGAAGGAGTATGGAGACGTTGTCTCGAAGGACCCATCGATAGGTCTGGATTGACCTGATTTCCGGAGCCAAATCCTGCGTGACGAGGCAATGGCCTTTGTCAATACCGAAGTGCGACGTCAATGACGCATTCTTTTGTGCGAAGAACGAGGCAGGGATGGTGCGTGAGAGCAAGGCTCCGCACTCGACACCCACGCTATGTCAGAAAGCCGAAAGGCAAGTGGCGCACTGATCATGCTTTCAATAAGGTAAATGCGGCCACCATTCCGGCGCAGACGCAATTCCTCACAAGGATGTTCTGCAGAACAACTTGCTGGGCTACACGCTGTACAGCGCACTCGCCTTGGTCGATGGTTACTACCAATTGTTCATGAGAGCAAGCAATATTCCCCTAACAGCGGGGCGTACTCTGAGCGGTATGCTCTATGCGTGGCAAGTCATACCCTACGGGCTGTCAAATGCATCATCAATTCTAATTGGTCTTGTGACGTAGTTGTTCAGGCCCCATCGGGCGTAACCTCATACGTACTTTGACGATATATTCGTCCATAGTCGTGCTGAGCACGGAAGTTCAGATGTGGAGAGCAACATTGACCATTTGCGAGCGGTGCTCGAGTGCATGCGCCCTAACAGGTTGTATGCCGAATCGGCCAAGTGCGTCTTTGGTGCGTCTTTAGGATATACCTTTACATTGGGAAGCGCGGCTTACGGGCAGACCCCGCAAAATCCGAGGCCATAGTGGACTGGGTTTTAAGATACAAAAGGACTTACGCAAGTGACTAGGCTAAGCCAATTACCTGCACGAGAACAGCGCGAATTACGCGAAAATGACTCGACCAATCATCAAATCTCATTAAGAAGGATGATTAATGGTGCCGGAACGCCAAGCACGGCGTAGCATTTGGGGTTGTAAAGGAGAGGCTCCTTTCGGGCTTCGATCCTTGCGCTACCGGACCCGGATCGGTTATTTAGCGTCGTCTGGCACACCTCCGATTTAGCAATCGGATGTCCTTTTCTCGCAGCCGACGCCAAAGGGCGTGAGCGCGTTATCGTGTTTGAGTCTCGTCAGCTCAAAGCCGCAGAGCAGAACTATCGAGCTCATGACAAAGAGCTACTTCCAATGAAGTATGCTCTAATCAAGCTCAGGGTACAACGACTAGGCTCTAAACCTTTTGTGATTTTTACTGATCATGCGTTATTTACGCACTGCGACTCAGTCGCCTCATCTCTCTCAGAGAATGGCAAGATGTCTCTCCTTCTTTGACGAGTACAATTTCGAGATGAATTGCAAGTCTGGCCGGCTTAATGTAATGGCTGATGCGCTCTCGCGCAGGCCGGACTACGAATTAGCTCATGCCACGACAGTGACGTCATCAGTGTTTGATCTAATATGCAGCGTGTATGCACAGAACGAAATATGTGCAGCGCTGTTATGAGCACTTGGGAGCGAAGCGTTTAAAGACCCTAGAAAGGAAATATCTGGGCGCTTACGCGCGAGGCTGCATCGATACACTCTTGATGATGGCCGGCTGTATTACAGCACCGACCCTGAGGATAATTCTTGTGTGGTCGTCCCTCATGATGGGGATCTAAAGGATCGAATCCTAAATAAAGTTCACGATACGTCCGTTGGCGGGCACTTAGGTCGTGAGAAGACCTTGGGCTCGTTGAGCTCGATGTACAGGTCAAGTTGTACAAATGGTTGGCACCTATGTACGCACGTGTGAGACGTGTCAACGGACGAAGTCCGCGGCAGCGCCGTTGGCGAGTTTGTCTGTTCCCAAGAGATGCTGGCAGTCCATCAGTCTGATCTTCGGGTTTGGCCTTCCTAAATATGAGGCGTCAAACACGGGTATTGTGATCTTTGTAGACCAGTCAAGCAAGATGACTCATTTAGCGGCGATGCGGGACACCATCAATGGGAAGGTACAGCGTTGCTGTTTTCTGACCGATTATTTCGCCATTACAGCTTGGCTGAGGCAATTGTCTCGGATGGAGACCCGCGCTTCACCGCGTAGGTTTGGACAGTCATCTTCAGACGCTCGGCGCTCGTTTGGGCATATCCTCAACGGATCTTCCGAAGACCGACGGTCAAACCGAACTAGTGAATCGCGTACGGAATGTATTCTCCAAAGCGTAATGCATCGGGTGCGCGACGCTAGGGCTGAAAGCCAATACACACAGAAGGAACATGCATATGCCAGGGCAAAATAAATGTAGAGTGGTTTGAGGCCGGGGTGGGGGGGGGCAAGCTTGATTAAACGCGAAAACCCTACCAACTCAAGCAATGTCTACCGTCTTCAAAACGAAATTGAGACCACGGTTCGTGGGACCGTTTAATGTCGTGGTCAAGTAGGGCCTAGCGTACACGCTCAACCGCAGCCACTGGTCAGAGCCTGATCACAACAATGGACCTGCTCGCTCCCTAGTGTAGTTGAAAGGGCAAGGCGCCCAGCTCCTGGGGAAACGCTGTCGCACAGATGACGGCGCCTCGGCGCATGATGTTCCCAGTCCTAAGCATCCACGACGATATGTTGCCCATAGGAGATGGTGAGTCCATGTTGGTCAGTGTGCCACCAAAGTGGGCAAAGGTCTTAACCCTAGACATTAAAACCAATCGGGCTTAAAGTTGCTTGGAAGCCCAATGCAAATTGAAAAATTGCCAGGTCAATCTTGCCGGAGGATAACCTCAAACCCCCACGGGTTCTGTGAGCGAAGGTAACCCCTCCACTTCACAACGTACTGGTCCGTCTACGCCGCTCCATCAAGCATTTCACGTGATATAAAAGCTCCACATGCTTACTGAGCAAAGCGGAAGGAGGCCTTGCCTCAACTGGGCTCTTGCGGAGAGAGTCAGCTCTAGCCGGAGCGGCGTTTGCGTCCGAATGGCGCCTTTGTCCACGACGCGAACGTCCACGTTCACCATCGGTCGGTCTCAGGAGATGGAAAGATCTCGCGGTGTTAGGGATGCCGTCCCGCAGGAGGTAGGTGTTTCGTCTGTGCTGAACAAGCTTCAGATACAAGCGTCCCGATAGACGCATAGTTGATTTGAAACAACTTGCTCGATGAGCATGACCCAAATGTGGATGCGCTGTTAACAGCGAACGTAGTGTGTCCCGGACGGAGATCGAGCCACTGACCTTTGGTGTTCCAAGCCGGCGCTCTACCATTGAGCTATAAGTGCGATACCTGTAATTCTGTCAGAGTACGGACTACTGCTCATGGTATGAAAGGGCAACGCCCGGGTGGAATCGAACCACCAACCTGTGGCTTCCAAAATCAACGGTTGACAATTAAGCTATAAGGGCGTTGTCTTTAAGCTTTTTCAGGCTAGGACTATAGCTCACGAAAAACCGAGAGGGTTGTGCCCTGGTGGGCTCGAGCAACCGACCTGTGGTTCTCAAATCCAAGGCCCGACCATTAATCTAAAAGGACGTTGCCTTTAGGCCTGTCCAAGCATGGAGAATAGTTCATGGAACGAGAGGGCTGCGCTCTGTTAGAACGAGCCACCGACCTATCGCTTGTGCACCGAGTGCTTAACTGCTGAGCCGTTGTCGTGACTTGGACGAGTCAAGATTCTAGATCAAAGCGGTTGGAAGCTCTTGGAGCAGGTAGGGGGCGTGAGGGTTGGTCTGGGACCGCTGGAGAACGAGATGCGCGGTGCGCTGGGCACATAAGGCCGTGTGCCGACGATGAGAAGTTGCGCATCAACGATGCGTAGGCGTTTAAAAGCTCGCGGAGGTTTACAACGCTGGTGTGAGGTGTAGTAACCTCCGCCGATCTGATGAGAGGCATGGCCTCACTTAGGAAGTTTCGAGAACATGGATGTTCTCATCTTAGTGAGAGGGGGGGACGGGGCTACCTGGTATAGAACACACCGAGGTACGGAGTACCCGTAGAGCGATCAAGCTATCTGTACATAAGTCGGAGAGGTAACAATCGTAGTTGGTTGGCTTAATCATGCATTAGCTACGCTAGATACTTAAACAGCTACATTTAGCCCTACGCGGTTTGGGTGCAATAATAGTAAACAAAACACTTCTGGTTTTGAGCCCTAGTCGTGGGCGGTAAGTGTCCTTCGGATAAGGAGCTTAGTATTAGTGATTCTTTGAGTCGAACGTCTTCCTCTGACGCTAAAGCTACTACAGCCCCGCTGCACCGGGGTAGTCGCCTATCAAGCGCCTGTAAACTCGGAGTAACTTTAAGAGGTATTGTATGATGAATGAAAATGATTGAGCTCGCATAGAGTGTATGCATTATACTGTTTATGACAGTCGGTATGCGAGCAAGCATGTAAACCATTGTAAAATAGTGAGACAGGATTGGTCAGGCGGGCTGGATGTCATCATTGATTGCTAGATGAAAGTTGTGTACTGACTCGAATTTAGTATGGCCCGCGAGTGTACCCATCTGTGCCTCATTTTTCCAAGCTTTCAAGCTTTTTTTTCTACATATCCGCGGCTTTCCTACATATCATCTTGGCATCGTCTCTAACCACGTAACATTAATTTGTGACTGTGCTACACATGATGTTTCAAACACACGTCCCATTGTACATAGATCAGATGTAAACTATTTTCCGATCAAGGTTTTTTCCCACGCAAAAAGAAAATTGCCCATTTTGGATCGGACAGGGACAAGCCAATTGAGTACGCGTTCCGCGATGTGCATTTTGACCCCAAGTCTCGGTTCAATCAAGATGGAAACTTCTCGAATATTAAAAGCAGCGCGTATACGCTGCACGTCACTCTGCAAAAGATGCCGTCCGAACCAGGCCACAGCAAAGTGGACAAGCGGTATGAGCGAGAACAAGCTAGAGTCTCAGTCATTCAAGCCTATAGGGAAGGGATAAACTGGCAGGACGTCGCAAAAGCCAACGCCATCCACCGCAGCACTTCTAGAGCGCTATACTTACCGCCGATGGTGAAGTCAAGAAGCATGGTGGCTTACGCGCAGTGAATGTGAAGATGACGGTGGGGACAATGTGCAAGTTGGAGGAGTAAATCGAGGAAGACTGCCGTTACACGCTAGAGCAACTACGCGACAGGCTACGCAGTGAAACGGGTATTGTTTTGTCCAAGTCGTCGATTCACAGAGCTTTGCAAGGAATGCTCTACACGACCAAGTGCGTGGGTAGCGAAAAAGCCACGATGAACTCTGCAAAAAACAAGGATAAACGCAAAGAATTTGTGGCTAGCTTAAAAGAACATATCGATGCAGGTAATATGTTTATCTTTCAGGGCGAAACTAACTTCAATTTGTACCTTTCGAGGACTGTAGGATGGGCTAGGGAAGACGAGCGAGCTGTTTCTTTGCCGCCTTCTCAGGGGAAAGTCTCACATCCAGGGCGGCATTCCTTCTTGCACGGGGGCGATTTTGCTCAGGGCCCATGAGGGATCGGTCAAAAAGAAGGAGAACGATCACTTTTAAGCAGAGATTTTCATGGCTGCACTTCGTACCTAAGCATTTCAAGAGCTGGATAAGCACCAGAAAGGTTTTGAAAATTGTGAAACAGAAAGGTTTTGGAAATTGTGAAACACTAGGTGGGCTCAAATTGAAAATCGTGAAACGCGCACGTCCGTTTACATGTGCATAAATTGGTTGTTGTCTTTTGTTTTTCTTTTTTGCATCTTGCGTGGAAAATTGTGCATCTAATAGTGTAGCTCTATACATACAGGCTAGAGAGGCCTCAGGCGTGATGTATACATCGATACAGCAGTTGCAATCCCCATCCCTAACAATCCATGGCCCTGCAACGTCATACTCAGTTCCCCTCAAGTATACTAATTTCTAAATACACAAACGTTGTAAATACAGCATAGGGTAGGCAATTAAATATCTTTGGTTTAACAGCGTTAAGCTAGAAGCTAAGGATTTTGTCCTATTTTACAACTGTGTTAGTGTAGACTACAAAACAAATCTGTGGTAGCAGCTGTTCGTATAATCACTGAAGTCGCTTGTATTTTAGCGCACCTCCTTCATAAAGCATACTGTACAAATCAAAGTCATCAGCTACTACAAGGACGTTTTTCACTCTTTAACAAAATGACTGTACTCGTTACGGACTGTCTCTTGTAACAAATCATTGAAGACAGTCTGACAATGCAATCTGATTCATGAATCTGTCCTGAGAGTGACTATTACCACAATTTGAGTTACTTGGGAGTTGTGACCCGACGAGTTTTTCCTATAAAGTACGAAGTAGGAGAGGAGGGGGTGAAAGCCGACTCGCTCGGCAACACGAGTCCATGCCTGTGGTTTAAGATCCGTGTGCGAAGCACCCAGGTGTGGTGCCGGAAGTACCACGTGAACTCTAGCTACAAGTGGAGATAAATAGTTCCCACAACAATATGTCTACCAGAACGGCAAATGATTGTTCGGGCTGACCTGACGTCCCAGGATCTGCCCTAGCACCGGGACAGATTGGACCTTGCAAGTCGGTTTATAGGCCGGCCAGTAAAAATGATAGCACACTACTAGCACAAGCAAAACACGCAGTTGTTTTGAATCCTCGTTGTCCTAACAGCACAAGGACACGGTTAAGCCTTTTACGAGGGCACTGAGTGCTCAACGCTCGGTGGGAAGAATAAAAGGAATGCAATACAAGCGCTCCCAGTGGTACAAATAGGCAACAATAAGCCGTCACGTAAACCTCCCGAAAATAATTGGCCAATACACACAGTTTCTTGGTCTTGCCGGATGAACCCTCGCTACAGAGCTTCGAGTTCAGCAACAGGCATACCTCACTCATCCAAGCTTGACCAAACGCTTACGTCGAAGCCGGGCGTCGCTTGTGCACTTGAATGGAAACTCTGTTCTGTATTTGTGTGGCCCTTTCGGGCCTATTCCTAATAAGTTTCCTAAACATGTATACTAATATCAGGTGAGCTACATTCCGTTTGGGATCGCTTCGCATGTCAACCGACGCTTGAGCCGTCGCCGCATCCTCCCAGACGGCCAACGAGGATTCAAACCGTCGCCGAGTCTTCGCAAGAGTCGCTCCAACCGCCACCGAGCGTTCGTACAATGTATCGCCAGGTTCAGTGTCACTGAATGTGAATCCGGTCAGTACCATCATTGCCAATATGGATGGCCTGGCTCGAGCAACATCGTGGCCGTAATGGAGCACGAACGAAGGATCGGTAGCGACTTCTCTGAATATCTTGCACATCAAAGTCAGCCTCTGTCACCTGACCGTGCGTTCGTAGCTTGTGCAACTTAAACATGGCGTGCCTAAGGCCTCTGATAGTGTTTCTGCATCTTTTAGGAGAAACACCATACCACACGGACTTAAACCAGGACCAAGCATGGCTAAACCTCGCTCGGCCCTTACAGGGTTAATGCCCAAGAAGGTATGGGTTTGGGTTAGCGAGGATGATAGAATTCACACCAAGCCCTCTACTTTTCGAGATTGCCAGGCTTATGACACCCATTCCTCCCCTTGCGTCAGTAGTCTCTGCCAATCTGATCTTAGAAAAGGAATCTTTGACGATAAAATAACCACAAATTGTGGGTTCTACATGTAGTCGAAGTTCCAAGATGGGTTGATTGAATGGGCCGAGCCATGCAGACCCAAAACCCGATCCAATCGGCTTAAACACTTCCTCTCAGCATTAAGTACGACATTGGATTTAAATGAATTCGCAGGGAACCATCCGAAACTTTGTCGAATTTCAAATAAGGTACTGTGCTAGTTACGGGACGTAGCCGATAGATTTAGGACTTTCAAAAGACCTAAATTTGAGTCAACATAACTCTTAATCAAGATGTCCTATTTCATTGATAAAGACTCATAACCCTTTATCAATATGTCTTATTTCATCGATAAAGACACTCATAAAATGAGCTCTTCACGGGCTATTATTTAGAGAGCTGTAAAATGCTGCAAACTTCGGGTCACAAATGTGTCCTCATTTTAGCGGAGTTGCCAGTCTCCCGTGTAAGAGTGCAAATCAACTGAGCCTTACCCAGATCAAATCGCTTCGACAAAAAACCATATAGCCAATAGAAGACAAGAAAAAACCAAATTGTGATCTCTAATTGGTTAAAATTACTGGTTGAGTGCACGTAACCGGCGTATATTAGCTTGATTTTTGTATCGGAAGATCCGGAGAATAGGCCAGCATCGCCAAATTAAACCGGAATTCAAGATAAATAGACGTAAAATTCGTTCTTTGCCCTTACCACTTTGGCGAAAGGCACTCGGTATTTAGTCAGACTACGTAGCACGAGATGAGGCAATAGTACCAGAATATAAAAGACTGGGCGCCCGAACATGCCAGTCTCCGGAATACCCGGAGGCAAAATTTC